AGGCACCAAGTCAAAAGTGGCATCTATCAATGGCTTGCGAAAGCCTTAATAGGAAGAATGTCTGAATTTAAATGGTTAGTGGTCGAAGAAGCCTTTGACRTTATTAGCTTTTGTGAAACATGGTGAGATGACAAAAATCAATGGGAAACTTTAGTTGTTGGCTATAAAACCGCAAAGGGGAAAGAGTTTCAATTTAAGTGATGTGGGAATAGCAGCTCAGCTTGGAGAGATCCCCGGAAAGAAGGAATGCAAATGCCAAGACCTTTACCGTAGCGTTTACAAATGTATTTGAAGCATCAGACTTAGGAATATAAATGTTACTGAATTACCAGCTCCAGTATTTTTCATGTTAAGGCATGGAAGATTTTTTTAATAACTTAATTATTGCTTTATTCAGAGAAGTGCAGCTTGTCACGCCATGATTCTCCCTTCCCAAGMAAGCGACCCAAAAATCTGTTCGTGTAAAGATTAATGTGATGTCTTGTACTCAGCTGGCCAGTGAGACTTGCCACATGGCAGGTCTATTTATATAGGAGGTTAGGGTGGGCATGTAGTAATTATTGTTGATTCTTACTCAAAATATTTGATTCTTGCKGAGAGGGATGAATTCATCTGCAGAAGCAGAAGCAAACTAGAGCTTCTCTGTTTTCCCCATTCCAGCTCTGGGTGGGTGGCCCTGCTCTGCTGTCCCTAGCCACGTTGTAAGTCCTGGGGTTGGCTACTGCTTGATGAGTAGGTAGAGCAGCACTTCGAACAGTGCACGAAGGATGGGGATACCATAYGAAAGACAGTCTTCTTGGGCAATAGCAGAGTCATGTCAGTGTATGAAAGCTAGGCGGAACTGGTAGCAAAAGAACAACAACATTAATAAATTATGGCAATTAAAGTTAGTACTTTTTAATAAATGAGTTGGAACATGGATTTTTGTGTGTTAATATATGCCTTTTATGAGAAGACTGCACCCTCACAGGCAAAAGAGAAGACATTGCATAGCTTATACTCTAGATATAATGTTTTTATTTCTTGTTGTAGAATTATTTCAGAAAGATCTAGGAGAAAAGAAAAAAAAAWTTTTGATCAGCCTTAAGCATTGTTTATTTTATTGGTTTTGTTTTTTTTCCAAGTCTTCATCAGCTTAGATAAAATAAGAACAGACAACCTTAATTTGTAAGAAAGGAGAGTAAAAAAAATCTTGCTAGAAAATTTATTTAATCTATACATTCAAACTGACAGTCCTCTGGATTTCAATCTGCAGTTCTTAAGAAAGGAGATAATTTCCATAGGGTTCATGTTACTGGTTCATTCAGACTGCCTATTATAGTTTTGAAATATTGGTAGGAATGGATTGAGATATATTCATGACAGTAGGTRGACTAATGGAATTCACTGACTTTATTTAAAATGTGCTGAAGTTTATTATAATACTGTAATAGAAATGTCATTTAGTCTGACGGTAGGAGCGGGAAAAGCCCTGTCAATGAATAATAATGAAGCTATTTAAATGTCAACTTTCTTGCAAACAGTTTGCAAAATATAAATTATTCTAGATATTTTTAGTCAAGTTTGGTTTTAATTTGTTACACAGGAAAGTTTAGTTTCAGTCCCACAATTCTGGCTTTTTTTTTGTGCTGTCAAATGAACTGGTAATAATTAAAGTGCTCATCTTGGGTGTTAGCAGAATACAGTGGGATTTACACACAAAGTAGGGCTTTGATTCTAAATAGTTACTGGTAATGTTTGAGATTGATTTAATGGAAATAATTACAACTAAGATGGAGCAGGTGTGAAATTATCAGAATCAAGGCAAAATACACTCTGGATATTACATTTTAACTATTTATCCACAGGATTTCAGTAACATCCACAATTCACCAAGACGTAATAAGATGCTTGCTGTTCATTTGGTTACATATAGTTAATSAGTAGCTGTGCGCTTGGGCAGAAGGTTCAGAAGCTGCATGGCTTCACTTCTGTGTCCTGGGCTTCGCCCTTCCAGGTGATTCAGCTGGATACCAGCTTGCTCTAATCATTTTATACAGAAACACCAAAATGGAGTTCTCTCCACAAAGCTTCAGAGGAGCAGCCTGGCACACGGTGGGGGATGTGGGTTGATACGAGGCTGTTCCCCTTTAGACATCTGGGTTTGAGTTTGGTCATCTGTCGTTACCACCTACAGCCTGCTGAGGTACAAGTGTCTTTTAAATGACTTTTGGGATAGGGCAGCTTCCTGGGACACCAAAGGGCTGCCAGTTTTCAGGACATAGAAAGGAGTCTCCTGCTGCTTCATATACCCATTTAATAACAAAAAAAATGAAGAGCTCAATATGTAGTCTGCCAATTAATGCCTGTTTATATGTCGTAAGAACATGATGAACCGAGGTAGGTGATATCCCCTTGGGTTACACCCCAGTGATGCCTTCATGTAGGCTCAATATTTCATCTGATGCGATCACTTTCTTGCACTGCTCCATGCACGTGACATCCGTAACTCCTTCCTTGTATTAAAGTACTGCTATGTTCTCATCTGCTGTTTCATAACATTTATTCCCCTATTAAAACTAAGGGTAATTAGAGTGGTGTGAGAGAAACAGCAGCTTGTAGTTGGGCAGGTAAAAGGCCTGGATTTTAGTAATTTGAGAGCGAGGAGACTGAGATCAAACAGTAGCTCCTTTGATCGCTTGCGTATTTGTTCATCTGCATGTTTTTCCAAGCTTTTTGCTGCTTTTATGGATGTTGACAGAAGCACACGCTTCCATCTGTAGATAACATTACCTGTAAATAAAGCTGTGAATGCAAAATAATTGCCTAGAGATTTAAAGTAAAAAGTAGCTGGCAATTCTGACTGAGGTGATTATTTGCAATAGTCCTGCAGCATCTGTCTGGCTGTGCTGTGATGGTGGTGCTGTTTTTTTTCTTTAACAACTTTGTAATAGGATTTGAGTCAAACTTTCATCACTCTTGCCCCGTTTTGGAGGCTCACATTTTAAAACCACTATCATTGCTTAAAGGAGTTGCATTACTTTGTTAATATATTTTTTATAATTATAATAAATATATAATATATAAATATAATAAATATAATTATAATAAATATAATTATAATAAATAATAATTATAATATATTTTTTCTTCACTCCAATGGGTCAGATTTGGCCCTTAYGCTCTCTACATTTCTTTGACTTAAATTTTTAAAAGGATGTGCATATAGATATATATGTGTCTAATGTAAGATAAATACTAAACGTTTATAGAACTCTTGACTATGAAAAGGCAGGAGTGATGTGAACAAATAACATAAACTAGCAGTCCTTGATAAGACTGGATCCAACTCTTGCCATGTGGCTCCCATTACCTAGATACTGGAACATCTCTGAAAGACTGAATATAGAAATAACTAAGAGCATCCTTCCCCTCAGTCCACTGAGGAAATAGCTCACTTTGTGGGCTCCCAAGAGAGATGACCTTCTGAAGGGGAAGATCAATCAGTAAATAAGAACTTGGTATTCGTATTCCAGCTAACAAAGGTCACGTATGCGCGTATGTTTGGAGGAGGGGAGAATTAAAAAACAGTCTGAATCTGTAGGCCAGCAATTATACAACCAGGACAGACACCTGCATTTGCTTTGAATAAAGTTTCTGAATAGAAACACTCATCTTTAATCCAAAATGACATTTTGATGTAGTCCATTGTAATGGATAAAGAAATAAGCTTTGTTGTTGCCTTTTTTTCATATGCTGACTGCAAAACCTGAAATCCCAGAAGCTATTATGTGAATGTATTTATCTGTAGGTAAGGAACCTGATCCAAAATCCCAATCAAAAACAAAAGGAAAGGAGGCTTTAGTATATGTTAAGTGCCTTAAATATCTCTGTGGGTTTGACGGTTTTCCTAGGTAGGACAGAACCTGGAAATTATGGCTGTGCATGGGTGGCTTTGAAATGACTGGGCTTTGCAGTGATTAGCAGAAGGAAAGTTTGYACTACTGCTCACAAGGGAAGTTCCTTAGTGCATTTGTACATTTTAATTACAAGTTTTATTTAGAGTTTTCTTTTCTGGAACTACATATTATGTTTCCAAACGACTTTTTTTTTCTCTCTCCCAGAGAAGTTTCATTTTTCTGCCGTTTATGCATACCAGTTGTGCTAGGTTTGGGCTGATTATCTAAAAAACTTGACTATTAGTACATAAATTAGCCAAGGACGAGCTGCTTAATGAAAAAAGCTGCTAATGATGGATCCAAATTCCAGTCAATGTCAGAATAAATGTTACTACTCTAAAGAGTTATATACTGTTATATAACATATAAGTATAATATATAAGTATATATACTTATATACTGTTGTGTTTGTTCATTTTTTTGTTCCTCTCAAGGACACGTAGTCAGTGTCTCTATCAGCAATGCTCGTATCAGAAGTGTATTATTTTCTCTGCTGAATGGTGTTGCTAAAGCAAGACAAAACCACATCTGTCCRTACAGTCTGCTGGCCCATGTGACGAAGCTGTAGACATTGTAATGTCTGTGTGGTTAGATTTTTCACAAGGATGTCAGTGTTTTTCACAGAAAAATTAACTCATCTGAAGCATCTAAAATGGGGCATGCTGAGAAAAGTCTTGATAGCTTTAGGAAAATTTAGTATGAGCTTGGAGAATGAAATGATAACTTTAGCCCCTTGCTGTCTGCTCTTTTATATTTATGGCAATCATTATCATCATCTCCTACATGCTGAATTTAACATTTCTCATTGTACATGTTTATTTTAAAGTGCTTTGGGAAGATGCTGGTTTAATTTTTCCTAATCTAATTTAAATGCAAACGATAAGCACTCACATGATGCTGTGTGTATATAATTAAGCATCATTATATGCTACATGAATCATTCAAAAAGCTCCAGAGAGCCATTTTGCTATGTAAAACATGACTTACACTGAAAAGCAGCCAAGTGACTGGGGTTTCTGTGATTAAGTGTTTGTACTTATGAAATCCCTCTTTGAATTATAGGTCAACAGATTATGGGACAACGTATGAGAAGATGAATGATAAAGTGGGCCTGAAGACCATTTTGAGCTACTTGTATGTTTGTCCGACAAACAAACGCAAGGTAAGAAATACTGTAGCTGGCTTGTTTGGACTTTCATTCTTCTTCTGACCCAGTCATTCCTGCCCATTTCTTCACCATCTTTTGCTGGTTAGCGAGTGAGGAAATTTCTCCTCTTCAAGAAACATGCCACCAAAACGTAAGCTGGTTTGTACCACCTGGAAGGTGCTTTTCAGGTTATATGTTGCTACTGCAGATGCTGTGAAACAAATAGGCTTAATGGTTATTGTGCATTTGATCATTTGTCTACCTTTTGGCTGGTGGTGATTTTGCTGTTCAAGAGCGAGAGCCTCATTAAAACGATGGAAATACATCTACAGCAACCAGACTGTATGAAATATTGTTTGTCTTTCGAGTGCTCCCAATAGTGAACTGAACAGGATTTAACAAAATCATKCAGAGAAAATGCCTTCCAAAGCCCAGAGGGTTTTAATCATGCAAGCACCCTCCTGAGTAACAATTTACCAAGAATTTAGAATACTGACATACTCACGAAAGGTAGTTGATGCCTCYTTTCATATATATTTTGATTATATTTTTGAAATGTGGAGGTATATAATAAGAAGAGTTGAAGCCTTGTTCCTTTAAGAGAAGAAAGGCTTATATTGTCACACACGGTTKTGTTTGTAAAAGAGATCTTGCTTAAAGACTCCCTCATATGCTCAATTAAGAAAGAATTAGACTCTTGTTTAGCGGTAGACAATTACTGCTACTGATGTTTTGATGTGGAGACTAAGCTTAAATGATTCAGATATCACTAATGATTTAATTTCAGATTTCCCAATACAYTGGTCAAAAATAAAGGAATGAAAAAAATCAAAGCAAAATTAAATAAAGTAGTTGTGACATTCTCTTCCCCTTGACTCATTAGTTGAGCTTAGAGCCCCCAATCAGCATGTGGAAGGCCCAAATCCAGCTCTATCCTTTCCTCGAGGGCATGTGAACTTGTCTAGATTAGTCACCTCTCTCTCCAGTTTCTGTCACACAGGCTAGATGTTTGACCTCYCTAAGCAGAACTGAATTGCATCAGTAGGAAATGTTAGTGAAGACCGACCTCCAAAGGAGGTTGTTTATCTGGACAGCTGAGGTTACTGTTGATGCTATTGTCATTTCACTAAACACTTAAGGAAAAACTGTGAAAGAAAGAAGTAATTGTCTTAGCCAGAGAGGACAATGCTTAATTTTATTCTCTTGTAGATGATATTTAACTCTTTTTGTTTAAATTAAAAAAAAAAAAAAAATCTAGATGTAAATCATTAGACCTATTAAGAAACTGACCTTAAACACCTRTCAAATGCTCTTAGTTATATTATGGTTTAATCGTTTGTAGCTATAGCATTACAGTGCTTCCCTGTTTTGATGAATTTGTTTTTTGCTGGATGAGCAACAGGAAAAAAAAAAAAAATCAGCTGCCACTGTTTTGATGCCAGCTGATTGATTTCTCATACCTACCTAAATTGCTGTGATTATGCAAGCCTGGAAAAAGGCTTAGGCGTGGAGAAGTGAATGAAGTTTTGATTATTTTTTAAAAAGTACTAAAATAAAATCTTCAAATCTCCTGATGAAAGTCAGGCTAAATTGGATCATTCATTAGTAGCTTGTTGTTTTGCTGTATTTGTTTCTCACTTGTCACTTGACTGTACTAGAGCAAGTCATAGGGTCATGGATATAGAAAAATGAGAGAAATTAAACAATTTTTTGTGTTTTTTTCTCAAATGTTTCTAGCTATCATCCACCTTATGGCAAACTATTTACTTAAAGCTAAACCACTTTTTCACTTTTAAGTATTAAGAAAGCTAAATCTATCTGTTTTTCTAACACATTTGCTAAGCATCTCCATAGTACTTCAGCTAATACAGTGGAATGTAATGCTTGTTAAGTAAAGCTCCCTTTTTCTAATGCAATTGTTAGTTAACTATTATAACTTCTAACCAGTAAATACAGCTRGAAATGATAACTTTGGTAGTTTTCTATACAGACAATACAAATTGCATCCTTTCMAACAAAGTCTCTAGACCTAATTTATTGCTGCTTGCATCTTTGCAAACTTAAGTTACCTCTGAAAGGTCAAAATCCAACAAAAATTCAATAGACTGAATCTTGAATACAAGGTGTTATAAAAAGGTTACGGATGACTTATCTGATAAAAGGATTAAGAAAGCAAAGCAGTGTCCTCAGCTACTTAAAACAGAGATTTTATTGCTAAATACAAGTGAAAGAAAAACTTAGTTCCAAGTAAGAGGCTTTACATCGCCTTCTGAAAATCTGATTTCAAAACAGGACAGTTAAGGTCTCTGTAATGATCAGAAAATCAATCAGGTTGACATTGCAGTGTATTTGGCCACCATTGTTTCCCGTCACAGTTTTTTTGTGTGTGTGCCTAAATATGTATTTTATGCATGGAGAAAGCACATGCTTAACTAAATTTCTAGAGCTCTGGTGTCCTTTGAACTTTAAGCAGTGTTTCTGAGGGGTGTGAGAGGGAAAGAAATCTGGAATAAGGTGACTTTTATACAGGCTATATATAGTGCTCTTCCTACTATGACTGTATCTGCTTGTAGCAACTTCTGTGGTGAAATTCTAGGGCAGGATTTGCACTAATGACTAAAGAATTTGGAGATGTCTTTATTTTATGATGTCCAATTTGCAATGCTTTGGAAGGGATTGTAATAGAAGAGTGACAGTGTGCTCTTAATTACAAACATTTTATTTCTCGGTGCAGGAAACTATATTGTTGTGCTTATTGCAATCCTGGGGCCATTTATTTTGTTTTATGGTTGTTGGATATTCTTGCTTTTATAACATAATATCTATTCCAACCCTCACGCCTTGCGTATCTAGAACTCTGATCTGTTTGTGTAAGGAAGCTGGAAAGAGGGTCTGGAGGGTCTGACAGTCTTGTACCATAACCTTCCCCAGCGTTTGCAGGACAACTATTTCTTAGTCTAAAGCACAATCACTTATTCATATTAAAGGAAAGTTGCATCAGAGACCCTGACAAACTGAAAATGTAATACTTTAATGAACCAGAACATTTTATTCYGAAGCCGGATGTCAGCCTGAAAATTACTGGGGAAATATAATATTTCTGGGCAATCCTCATCTTGCATGTCCCAATTAAGARTTATATAAGTATTGCATGGATTCAATTGCCAAGTGGGAGAAATGGAACTGATAGTATGATGATAGGGCTTGAGAGTAAGTGGAAAGATGGTGGAGGCTGCAGCTGGCAGGTAAAGAAGGTCTGAAGCTTTTCACGAGGAGCGAAAGAAAGGAATTAACAGATCACTCAGGCATCCTTCAGTTTCGAGGCCTGAAAGATTCATCTGGTGGCACAGAAATTACAGTGCAGTGGGTTTACTATATAATCATGCCTGATGTTTGTCAGAGAATAATAATACTGTGCTCTAGAGAAACACTGTTGTTGTCATCTTTGTGATTTTTTTTTTTTTTTTTTTTTCGGGTGGGAATCTGTGTGAACCCTTAGCTACCGTGGCGCAGAGAACCCAAAGTGGAAGCTGTGGCTTTTGCAATCCAGCTAAGCCACCTTCAGCACAGGCTGGCTCTGAAAATCCTTCAGCACCTCTGGCTGCACCTTTTTCTTCCCTCTCTCATGCTGTGGTGGTTTGGGTAGCCATCTGGTGAGCCGGATCAGGGACTTACCTGCCTGCAAAGTAACCCTTTTCCAAGTCAAAAAAAAAAAAAAAAAAAAAAAAAAAAGGGGGGGGGGGGGAAGGGGGGAAAAAAAAAAAAAAAAAAAAAAAAAGAAAAAAATGAAAACAGACAAAAGGAAAATCTTTCAGGTGGCAGGGTGAAACTGCCCATTCTGGCAGTAGCTTTCACTCAAGTTGGCCAGCAGTCAGGATGGGCCTGTGCCACRGGAAAGCTGCAGCACCTGCCGTAAAGGTACCTTAGTTAAATGCCTGTGATTAAATTTTCCAAAAGCTATTTCAGCAGAAGCAGAATGATGCTATCAAGGAAGGGAAAATTATTTACAAAATSTGATACTGGGAACATTTTAGCAAAAGCCTCTAGATCTCAAAAGCCTTTTTTCCYCCCGCCTTTTAAAAGTAGCAACTTGTAGGTCAGGTCGGGAGTTGCAGGCATTTTCTCTCCCACTCCCCTTCTAAGTCTCTAGTCTTTTAAAATAGATGAATTTTACAAACCTTGCACTCTGTATGAGAAGGGTTTATGCACTGTTGCTGTTAATACTGAGCAAATGCTAACAGCATTTCCCCTAAACATTTGTAATACATAAATGATTTTTCTCTGGCTGCACCTCAGTCTTCCAAGTTCTCTTTTCCCCAGATATTTCCTTAGTGGGGAAATAAAGGCTTCTCCAATAGTGGAAAAGTGATGTGTTTCTTAATTATGGGATGAAAGTCCTTGTTACAACAGTRTTTCAGTGTTGGGGCCAGTATATGTTAACAGTAAACATTTGATATCTTAGTAAAAAATAAACATTGCTTAGAATTGTCCCATTGAAATAGCAGGTAATAGCTGAACTTACCTTTAGTTGAGACTGCTTCCAATGAGGAAACCAAGTGTATCGTGTATGCGATATTGACTGTTCCTTGCAAAGCAGTGCAGTTGGAATGATGAGCTGTAGAATGCATCTAATTGGATTTATTCTATTAATTAATCTGTTCATGAATTTCYGAAGATTTTCACTTTCTGGAAAAGAACAAACATTAACTGTGTTAATAAATTGTAGCAAATAATCTATTCATTCCTTCTAGGAAAGAAATATAAATATACAGAACTTGTAGAGCTTCCTGCTGTCTCTGAATGCCGATTTTCTTTTAAAAGCATATTCCAATTCTTCTCTCTATACTCGGAAAAGCTAAATCCTTTACCCAGACATTGCAAGTAACGTTGTATTATAAAAAAAAAAAAAAAAGTGTTTTGGAAATAAAGATGAGAAACACATTATTAGCAGTTTAAACTGCTGATCTATTGCTGTTTGATACTGTTCTGAATTACAGCTTTTCTTCAGGAAATTA